TACCCCAGGACCCCCAGACTTTTGCCCCTCTCTCTTACCATTAGATCCCTAATCTCACTTAGAACACCCTTAATACCCAAGAAGCCCCTTTCCTTTCCCTTTGGGGCCCTTCATAGAGCCACAGTCCACACAGCTCTCCTGACCTCACAAAAAGGCCCTTGAGCCCTCCCTAGAGTCTCCAACTCTCAGCCACCCATAGAGTCACTACAGCCTTCAGGACACCCTTCCCCTCTGGCCCCCAGAAAGTCCCCCTCCTGTCTTCCCTTTCTTCCCTCAAAGACCACCAAGGAGTACCCACAGCCCACAGGATCCCATATAGAGTAGTCCATCCTCTTCCTTTTACCTTGTCTCCGGGGTCCCCCTTTTCTCCCTAAGATCCTTTAACATCTATGCCCCAAGTCCCTCATTCACCCTAAGTTGGGTCAGAAGACAGGGTCAGGGACTGGAGGTCCCCCGCCCTCTAGGAGTGTGTGAGCTCTTTATTCCCTGGGCCAGCCCCCACGGGAGTGGCTCTTGCACCAGGGGAGATCTAGTCTGCACATGAACCAGGGCTACTCACTATGTTCCCCTTGGCACAACTTGGCCCTGGAGGTTCCACAGTCACAGCCAGTCACCCTGAAGGGGCAGGGAGGAAGCAGGAACAGGGTGACCCCTGCGCTGTCCTCCTCCATGCCCACACTCAGCTTGTCACCCTTCAGCCCTGTGGATCCAGTGTCACCCTATTGGGTAGAAGAGTGTGAGTTCCACCCAAACCAGGGAGTCTCCAGTCCGGAATTACATCCCCATCCCTACTCACACTAGGACCTTTCCCCCACATTCTTACCTTCTCCACATGCTCCCCGCAGCTGCCAGGGGACCCCTAGGTGAGAGAAGATGATTGTAACTTACGGAAATTGGGGGCAGTGGAGAACCAAGGGGGGCCACAGGATAAGAGAAACAGTGAGGACCAAAGGGGACAAGAGGATAGACAAGAAGGACCAGAGGGCTAGTGGGGACTGCAGAGAGTGTACCAGACACAGGAAGGTGAATGAGGTCAGACTGCTGGGACTTTTCCCTGTGGGACCCACTATGAGTCCTTGGGGTCCCTCCAGGCCAGGGCAGCCATCCTTACCCTAGATGGTGACATTAGGCTCATTGACTCAGAGGTTTGAAACCAGAGGTAAGAGCTGTGATGAAGGGACCCCCAACATGACTCCTTCCAGGGGACCCCGGCTGCGGGGCAGGACATACGTACCTGGACACCCAGCTCCCCACACTCGCCTCAGGGCCCAGGTAGCTCTGCTCCAGCGTCTCCCTGGAGAGCAACAGAACACCAGGGATGAGTGAGAGGAACCCGTGGGGGATGGAGGGCCACAGGAGGTTAGTGGAGGTTGTAGAGGGTGACAGGGTCAGCAGAGGTGGGAAGGGATGACAGGGGCACAGGAGAGAGACAGCAACATTTGTCCTATCTACCTTGTCTCCCTTGAGTCCAGAAGGCCCCAGGTGCTCCCTGTGGGTCAGAGTGAGGTGAGGCTCCTGTGGCCCTCAAAACCCACAGATACACACAGCCCACAGTGTGGCGTAGTCCCCATCATAAGTCCCTACATGGACAGACCTCAACACACAGGCAATCAAACACATGGGGCTTTGGGGTGCTTCTATTCACCACTGACTCTGGTGGTCCAGGTGGCCACAAGGGGCCTGGGGCTCCTTCTCTTCCTGGGGTACCTGCCAGACCCTATGAGAAAATGAAGCAGGAGAGTCAGAGTGACTTGAGGAGCCCCCTAGTCAGGGTCCACCCCCCCTTACCTGCCACTGGATTCATCAAGACCCCACATGCTGATCCCAGTCCCTCCCGCTCTCTACTAGGGTGTGGCAGACCATCTCTGCTCCGTGGCTGGTGAGACCAGGGAATCCAACAATACTAGAAACACTGGGGGGACCCGGGGGGCCAGGTGTCTCTAAAATAAGGCTAGCAAAGGGAGGCATGTCACTGCAGGATCCCTCCCAGTACTAGCTCCAGCATTCCTTCTTCCCTCCACCTCCAGCACCAGCCTGCCCACTGCCCCCACCACTGCTCATGGGGCATTGACTTACCTTCAAACCTGGAGGACCAGCTGTCCCTGGGGGACCCTGGACCCCAACTCCTGGGTCACCCTTTGAGGGAAAGAGGGGTCAAATCAGGCTCAGGGAGTCTCAGGACCATGATTCCAGCAGAGAGTCTCCCACATACAACTACCTTGTGACCTTTGAGTTCTGAGGCCCCTTTCTGACGCTAAGGAAACAACGTAAAAGCATTGGAGGAGGTAGAAACATGAGCACAGAGCTTAGACTCGGCCTAAAAAACTCCCAGGGGAGTTCAGATGTGATCATAAACACAAGGGAACTCAGACATGTGACTAAGAATTGGCCCACAGGAGCTCAGTCATGACTATGGACAGGCTTGTGAGGGCACAGACAGAGAGAAGCTCAGATGTGACTGACAACAGATAGATGAAGTTCAGGCATTACCACAGGCATCAGAAGCCCACACATGAGTGCAGACACTGGCATCTCAGACGTGAGCATGGAAATATGAGAACTCTGGGAGAAGGACTGCAACAGACCCACACCCACAGAGCTTACACGACCACAGACATGAACATTGATGGGTGGTGGGGAAGAAGGGAAGATTGTGAACACATGACCAAAGTGAGGCCCACAAGAAATCAGATGTGTCCTGAAACCTGGGCAATCAGACAGGAGCAAAGGCTTCCCAAAGAACTGGGATTACAGGTGTGAATGTTCAGACATGGTGAGGAACAAACCAGGGACAGGCACAGAGAAACTTCGAGCCCTCGAAGTGTGGAAGCTAAGAGTGTGTGATCCCATGTGCTCCAGGGAGCAGACTCCTGAATGCTGGCCCATGCAGTCAGACTCAGGGGTTCAGACATGTACACAAGCCCAAGAATTGTCCCTGTGTCCATTATCGCACTCCTCAAGCCAGGTTTGGACTTGTCCAGACCCCAAACTCACATCTTCCCCAGGATCCAGGGTCCCCTGCATGGTCGACTTCACCTTGCACAGAATGGGTGGTGAGGGACATCTGGCCATCCAGTCTTGCCTCTTTCCTCCCAATGTTCAGGCCCTGGGGCTAGCCCCACCTTACTTCGCCTCGTGGCCCTGGCAGTCCTCGGTCACCTTTGGCTCCGTGTGGATATAAAGGTCAAGAAGCAAGATAGACATCAATCACAGACAGGTGAGACTCAAGGAGGGACAGGAGACGGGGTCAAATGTGGGGCATAGCCGGGTTCAGTGGCTCAGCCTGTAATCCCGCACCTTTGGGAGGCTGAGGTGAGTGGATTGCCTGAGCCCGCGGGTTCGAGACCCACCTGGGCAGCGAGACCTCATCTCTACAATAAAAAATAAAATAAAATCAGCCAGGCATGGTAGCGCGCGCCTGTAATTCTGGCTACTAGGAAGGCTGAGGCAGAAGCATCGCCGGAGCCCAGCAGGCGAGGCTGCGGTGGCCGGGAGCGGCCACTGCACTCCAGTATGGGCGACAGAGTGAGACTCCAACTCAAAAAAAAAAAAAAAGTGGGGCATATTATGAAAGTTGAGGGTCAGGAGAGTAGGTAAACTATGGGTCAAAGGTCCCCTGTTGTCAGAAGTTCTACACTCACCAACTCAACCACCAGGTCTCCAAAAAAGCCTCCAGGGCCTCCATGATGAAGGGGAGGGGTCAGTGGGATTCCTTGGTCCCCACCATTTGGCCCCCTTCCCTGGCCTCCAACATACTCACCTAGTCTCCCTTTACTCCAGGCAGCCCAACCACAGCCTGTGGGGAATGCCTAGTGAGTTCCCTAGGCAGGGCACAGGATGTGGGCAGGAGAGGTGAGGGTTCTTGGGTACTCACTGCTGAGCCAGAGGCTCCCTTCAGACCCTGCATAGAGGACGCACTGATGAGCATCAATCTGGGCATCACTTGGATCTAATCCCATTTTCTGGGGGCTTTGACCTTGGGAGCCCACTTCGATGCCACACCCTTCCCAGGCACAGATCACACATACCATGGACTGCCCCTCATGGGGAGTACACATGAGCTTGCACACATGCACACATATATCCACACACACAGCCAGCCTCTCACAGACATCACAAACATGCACAAACCACACCTGGGCAGCAAGGCACAGACTGATCCCACAAGAAACACACACGTACGTATGCACAGCAGCCAGCACCTAGCAGATGTTCCCGACCCTGGGCGAGGCTACTCCGGCCACCACTCAACGACATCCTTTTGGATTCAGCCACACCACACTCTCCTGGTAGAACCCAAAGACAACAGGTTTAGACCACACTGACCTTGTCCCCCCAGACCCAGCTTCCCCTTGACCCACTATCTCCCTGGACAATCAGAGGCAGAACCCAGACAATCCCAGGCAACACAGGACAACACATGTAAGAGTCACATTCTTGAACATATGTAGCCTGAGGGAAAAGGACTCACCAGGCTGCCATCCTGTCCCCTCTGTGCTCTCCTCACTCTCCCTTGATGCCTGGCACATCTTGTAAGCAGAGTGTCACATCCTGAGCTCACAATTCCTGTCACATGCTCTTGTACACATGCACATCACCCCTGATATACCCCCATAAAGAGTGGAACATAGATCTGGCACATTGGTTCACACCTATAATCTTAGTACTTAGGGAGGCTGAGGTGAGAGGATTGCCTGAGCCCAAGTTCAAGACCAGCCTGAGAAACTTGGTAAGACCTCATCTCTGCAATAAATTTTTAAAAATTAGCTGGATGTGATGGCACACGCCTGTAGTTCCTGCTACTTGGAAGGCTGAGGTAGGAGGATCACCTGAGCCTAGCAGGTTGAGGCTGCCTTGACCGTGAGCACGCCACTGCACTCCAGCCTGGTTGACAGAGTGATACTCTGACATAAAAAAAAGATTGGGACATATATGGTAGGGTAGGAGGCCTCACCCTATCTCCTTTGGGACCTCTGTCGCCATCACTGCCTGGCTCACCATCACTGCCTGGCTCCTCCTGTGGAGATGAGATGTTCAGTCAGCCCTGGTGTCATGGCAAATGGTGGCCCCAAGTTGATCCCACACACTGACTTTAGCACCCTTGAGTCCAGGGGGTCCCTGTTCTCCAGAGAGTCCAGGTCCTGGTCCATCCACTGCCACCTGTAATCACAAGGTGACAGGGGATAGATGTGTCTGTCAGAGGCATGGGAAGGTCATCACAGATCACAGGATTGCAGCGGGTACAGAGTCAGAGACACCAAATGGAAGACTAAGGTAGCCTCCTGGTCAGCTATGGTAGGGCTGATGTGATCAACTTGGGACCAGGGTGTCCAGGGACTCCAGGGGGTCCAGGGAGGCCAGGAGGGCCACCTCTGCCCAGCAGAAAGTTAAGAAAATGGGGTGGCAGTCCCAGAAGAGCCCCCAGACAGCCCTGGCTCATGAAACCCTAACCTGGCTCACCTGTTCTCCACATTTTCCTTTCTCTCTCCATTCTCCCTGAAATGCAAATGGCAGGGGAAGGGCCATATCCATGGGTATCCAACCCCTCCTGACCCCACTTCTCTGGACCTCCTGGTCAGCCTATGGGCTTACCCACTCTCCTGACCATCCTGCCTTCCCCACACTCCCAGCCCAGCCTGGGAGTCCAGTAATACCAGGCTTTCCGGGTTCCCTGGCAAGGCTGAGAGGAAAGTGGGGGGGCCACTTTCCTACAGGGCCAGACCAGGCAGCCCCTGAGGGCCAGAGTCTCCACGATCTACCTTCAGGCCGCATTCTCCAGGAAAGCCAATGGGGCTCTGGGAGAGCAGAAGAGGGAATGCTGGTGGTTGTACAGCTAAACCCTTCATGAGGAACACCCTACTGAGCAGCTACGTTCACTTCCTTTCCTGGGACCCCATTCGCCCAAGTCTCCCTTGGGGCCATGCCACCATTCAGGCACAGGAAGGAAGCTCCCAGAGTTCTCATCCCAATTCTCCATGATCTCCCACAGGGCAGTAGCCTGAGCAATACCAAAGGGTCAGAGAAGCAGAGCCCATAGCTGCAGCCACCCATCCCCTGGGCCCCGTGGGCACCACTAGCCCCATGGGGCTCCCACTTGCCCCCTCCCTCAGTCTCTAAATGACCTAACTTGATGTCAGCAGTTTCCAGCAACTGTTCCACATTCTAGAGACACAGGCTGGGTGAGGGGTTGCCCGTGAAGGAGAAGGCACTGCCTTCTGCCCTACAGTGCCTCTGGAAAACACCTCCACACCTTCTTCCCGGGGCCTCTTACTCAGAGTACCCTTTAGCCCTGAGTCAAGGCCTGCCAAAGGCTACAGGGAGCTCCTTTCTGGCATGTCCCATTGCCCAGGTTCCCTTGAACCTGGAAACCCCGTGGGGCAGGGAACAGAGCACACAGCACAGAGTCTACGAGCCTCATGACAAGGGGAAGGGCTACAGGGAGGAATCCTATGGGTATGCAAATAAGGATCAGGCCCCGAGGTTGGCTCACTGGCACACTCCCAGGTTCTCCTCTCAGGCCTCGCTCTCCAGGGAGGCCCTGGAGAGATCAAGAGACAAGCTGCTAGGAAACAGCTTGGGAGTGTTTGTGTGCACTTGTGGGTGCTACAGCTACCTGGGCATGAGAAAGCTGGGAGCCTTGCCTGTTCCTCTTTGGATCCAGTCTCACCATGGTCACCCTAAGAACAAGAATGATCAGATGGGGAATGTCCGCAGCCCTGAACAGCCCTTCCCCATACCCTCTGCCCAACATATGCAGAGGCCATGTTTCCTGGGACACCAGGAAAACCCTGAGATATGACAGAACACAAAAGGGTCACACAGGCCCACGGCATCCCAGGAAAGATTCCTATGTAAACATAATGGCCTCTGTTGCTCCCAAGTCCTAAAACTTCCCTGGAAGTTTAGGAGGGCCAACTGACCTAGGTAGGCCTGGAGGGCCTTGGACACCAGGTTCCATGATCACCCTTGGGCCATCATAACCCTGTGGAGAATGCAGCCAGCATCAGGATGCTGAGACCCCAGAAAAGAGTAGGGCCATATCCCACAGGGTCAGTCAGGGTCAAGAGGTTGCAGATAACTCCAGCACTCACTTCTCTCTCAGGGGCACCTGGATCCCCCTTTTCTCCCTAAGGAAGACAAGGATGCTTCAGACATGGCCCAAATCTGAGGCCAGAGCAGATCCCAAGTGAGGGACCTTATCTTCCTCCCATCTTCTCCAGGATCCCAGGTTCTTTCTGTGGGCAGAGGACTCACATTAGCCCAAACGTTCACTGGCATCTGACTGCAACACACTGTCTTGGCAGATTTCAGATGACTGACTGTATGTCTGTGCCAGGGGAACTCTGAGTGTCCTGAAGCATGTACTGTCACTATCTGAGTGAGCTGCTTCAGGTCTAAGGGTGTGCCCACATGGGCCTGCTTACCTCTGCATGGACCTGCACATATGTCCTCCTGTCTCTAGCTCTCCAGATATAACTTGACATCTATGCACGAGTGTCCACATGTCCTAGGGGTGTTTGTATCCACTGTGTCTAAGCATGTATACTCATGGTCTGTGTGTCCTGGTCTGTCTGCACATCTAGGACCATGGGAACTGGGAACTGTTTGTCGTGGCATCTGTTTGCAAGTCCTGTGTGTATCTCAATGTGTATGGCCACATGTATGTGGATGACTGTGCACATAAAGACATGTATCAGCATGTCCTGGCACATGTCACATGTTAGAGTCATGGATGTCTGTCTCACCATGGCTCAGCACAGATCCACATGCAGTATTGGCTCTGTGGTTTAGCATACATGTGCGCATCTGAGTCTGGGTGTAAGTGTTTGGGCATCAACATGTCTCAGATTGCTCTGAATGTGGCTTCATGTCAGTGTGTCTGTACTTCCTGACCTGTCTGTGACTCTTCACTTTTTGCCTGAGGCTGTGGGTTATTTCTGCACATGTCAGCTCATCTGGGCACAAGTTGGCCCGTCCACCTAATCCACTATGTATCGGTAAGGCTGCCTGTGTGTGTACACAGAAATACGATGCTGCCCTTGCAAATTCCATTCCTTTTCCCAGTTCAAGACTGCCTATGTGTGCACACAGAAATATGTTCCAAGATGCATGTGTATGTCTGCACTATATATGCAGGTGTTGTACATGTCTGTGTGTGTCTACCCATGTGCCTCAGGTGTTAGTGCACATCTGGGCTGTGTGTACTTGCTAGCTTTTATTGGCAGGTTTCACCATGGCTGCCCTGGACACACTCACGTTTTTTCCACTCAGGCCCGGTTTGCCATCCTCACCTGGCTTTCCCTGTGGGAACAGATCTTTGATCAGATGTCAGGACTGGTGTGAGGGTAGTAAGGGAACAAAGAGGTAGCATAAAAGCCTGGACTCACCGGTGCTCCAGTGGGGTCAGAGGGACCAGGGGGCCTCTGTTCTCCTCGGAGGCCTAGAAGCCCCTGGAAAAATTCTTTGCTTAGATTGAGACGGCCTCTGAGATATCCCTTGAGGCACACCCCATGGACTGGGAGAACCCCACTGAGATCTTCCTCCAGTTTAGAGACCCCAGGTTTGGGGGATCCCATTGAAATTCCCTCAGATAAAGACCTCATGCGTTAGAGGGGCCCCTCTGCTAAGATTCCCAATGGAAGAACCTCCAGAACTTAGGGGGGTTATTAAAATCTCCAAGACAAAGAATGTCAGAAAGGAGACTCTACTAAAACCTGTTTACCAGGGACTGACCCCCACACACTATCACTGTTGCTGTGATTATAATGCCCTGACTGGAGCTGATGCTGACTCCTGAGCTGCTCTCTGTACCAGCATCTCCCCCTCACTTATGTCTCTTCCTGGGTCACCAGATTTGCCCAAAGCACCCTGAGGAGAGACTCAAAGTCAGTTGATCATAGTCACGGGGTCAGGGGCACCGACCGCTGACACGGACACTAGTTCTTGTGAATCCCAGGCTCGCCTGGCAGTAACATGGCCCACCCAGGCAGGTCGTTGGGAAAAGATACAGAAAACAACTCTGGCTCCAGAGCTCATCAAGGTCAAGACCACTTAGATGAGTCGGGGTCTAGGGCCTTCATGTGAAGGGTAAAAGGAAGAGAAAGATCAGGCAGTGACTACATGACTCACATGCAGCCCAGGAGGCAGGGCTCCTGGTTTGCCAACCAGTCTGCTCTGGCCATTCAGCCCAGGGGGTCCCTGGTCACCATGAGGAAAGCAGTGGTAAGAAGTCTCAAAGGCATAGATGGATCTGCAAGTCTAGGCTCATATCCTGAAAACCCTCCACACCCTCTCATCTTTTCTCCTGCTGAGCCTCAGACACCTTGGTCCCCCTGGAGGGAACAGGATCAGATTAGAGATGAAGGTAACAGAGGGACATAGGCTGAGAGAGCAAACAGCATCACTCACCAGTGGACCTGGGGGTCCCCTAAACCCATCAATGCCCTGAAGATGGGGGTGGAAGAGATCAGAGCAGGCCCACACCACCACCACCCCAGCTGGGGGCCAACCACACTCACCCTTTCCTCAGAGAGGTCAGAGTCATGCTTGAGTCCTCGGGGACCCTCTTATCCATGGTTCCAAGTCTCTCCCAGTGGCAGAGAAGCTTGCTGAGGCAACAGCCCTTGAGCCAAGGCATGCATGAGGCAAAATCTGTTGTGGGGGGCAACGGGAACTTTCTCCACCCACAGACCCCAGTACCTTCTCTCTGACTCTAAGTCCTGTGTCCACCTGTGGGGAAAATGACCAGGGAGAAGAATGGCTCAACAAGAGAAAGAGGGACTGGTGAGGGGAGATAGTGTCCATGAAGGGCTATAGGATCCATGAGGGTATCAGAGGGGCAGTGGGGAAAGTGGGAGTCAGTAGAAGGAATATAGAGCCAAGGGTAACAGGGGCAAGGTGACAGAGATGACAGAGGAGCAGACAAGCTCAGCCTTTACCAGCCGTCCAGGGGGTCCTGGGGAACCCTGGCAAAGGAGATGATTATCCTCAACAGGAGCCTTGACGACTCAGGGTACTGCTCAGGTTTGCCCCAGGCTTAAACTCAGCTCCAAAATTCATTGCAGTGTCCCAGTGCCAAACCCCAGAAGGCAGACCAGGCCCAAGGGTGGCCATCGATGCTTCCCATTTGAAATTCTAGGCCCTTCGTATGGACACTGACCAGAAACTGGCATCAGCACCCCATCCATCCCTGAGCCCAGAACACCAGCACTACTCACCAGCTCCCCACGTTCACCCTTGGGTCCAGATGGTCCAGGGCTGCCCTAAACAAAGCCAGGGGTCAGGGTCACTCAGGGTAGGCAGCAGTTTGGGGGAGTTATGGAAGCACCATGAGACTCATGGAGATCCTAGTGGCCTTTGGGGGTTGGGATGCAGGGGTCACAGCAAGTGAAGATTGTGAGGGTTTAGCATTTTAGGGTTGGGGTGGCAGGACCAGGGGCTGGGAACTGGATGGCTGGGAGGTTGAGGTCGGGTGAGGGGTCAGCGGCTGGGACTCACGTTTCGCCCATCCTCTCCAGGATCTCCCTGGTCTCCCTTCTCACCCAGAGGCCCCCGAGCTCTAGGTGCCCCCTGAGAAGAGCAGCTTGTTTGAGACACACCACCTCTGTATTTTGCAGTTTCTGCCATAACCCCTCCACTCCCCCAAGTTCCCCCACCACCCCCAAATCCAAGCCAGAGTTTCCCATCATCCCATGTATCCCTGTAGATTCCCATCCCCCCCCCAATCCCCTCAGAATTTCCCATCACCATCATGCCTACTTTTAAGGAGCTCTTCCACCCCTTCACCTTATTTCTGTCTGCCAAGACTCACCCGAAGACTCCACTCACCCACTTTTCAGGACAAACCTAAGTCACCCTGGTGATGGAGAGAAATATCACATGTGCAAGTGAGTTAGAATCTAACTAACTCAGGGAGTGGGGACAGAGAAGGACCTGGGCATCATCTGGGCAGGAAGAAGAGGGATTGGGTGGACTGGATGACCTGATAGAGCCCCAGCCCACAGGGACACCAGCTCAAGGGTAAAGGATAAGGAACCACAGTGGGGAGGAGTCTTCCCAGGGGATCCTTGTCTGCTTTCTCTCCAACTTCACCCTGTGAAACATGAGAGTCAGCTCTGGCCCTGTGAGACATGAGGCTGGCAACAACCCTACCCTCCTGCCCAACACCTCAACTCCAACCTCTGACATCTTGCCGTCGGTGGCGCACAAGTCCTGGAGAGCCAGTCAGCCCAGAATCTACCTTCTTTCCAGGAGGCTCTGAGTCACCCTGTGGAGGAGGCAAGAGTGGGGTGATGCAGGACACGCTCAACAATCAGCCCTCGAGGAGAGGTGACCCTAGAAGACTTGAGGTGGCCCATGGTCACAAGTACTCACCAGGGGTCCTACTCTGCCAATGAGGCAAATGGGGCCCTGAAGAGGGTGGGAAAGGGGCAAGACTTAGTTGGGGTCCCAGACACCACCTCACTTCCTTCTATCCTATCCCTCATCCCCACATTTACTCACCTGGTCTCCAGGGTCTCCTTTGAGGCCAGGGTCTCCAGGAAGAACCAAGCTAGGGTCCTATGGGTGGAAGGATAAGAATTAGAAAGGTACAACCTTCACCTGCCCCACCCTAAACAGTTTCCCTTCACTTACCGGTAGCTCCTCTGGGCCCAGTGGGCCCCACATCTCCCTGGAAGTTTCAAAGACCACAATGTTAGTCACAGGCTCCAATAAACCCATGACCCAGCAATCATGCCACAGCCCTGTGACCTCCAAGTGTCAGACACAGGCCCTATGACCTTACTCCAACACTGAGATCACCTCTCCTCATCCACACCAGACTTACTTTCTCTCCTTTGGCTCCAGCACCAGAAGGTCCCTGAACACCAATACGATAGACACAGCATGGCCCCATCTGAGGAGTATAGGACCAAATGTCTCAACAGGAATGGGGGTTATATAAAATTAGAAGTCATAGAGCTCAGTATTTGCACAGAAGTCACAGGGTCATCACTGAGAGCAGGGTAAGCATTACACAAAATGGGCTGACACAAAGAGCTCATTACTAGCTGGGTACAGTGGCTCAAGCCTATAATCCCAGCACTTTGGGAGGCCGAGGCGAGAGGATTGCCTAAGATCAGAGGTTGGAGACCAGCCTAGGCAACTTGGCGAGATCTCATCTCTACAATAAATCAAAAAATTAGCCAGGCATGGTGGCATGTGCCAGTAGTTCCATTTACTTAGAAGGCTGAAGCTGAAGGATCACCTGAGCCCAGCAGGTTGAGGCTGCGGTGCCCGTGAGCATGCCATTGCACTTCAGCCTGGGTGACAGAGTGAGACTCCAACTCAAAATAAATAAATAAAAGCTCATAATCTGAATGGTGGTCATGGGGTCACAGGAGAACCACCAGGAGTCTGGAGGCAAGTGACAGCATAGGGAGAGCCACAAGCTCCAAGCCTGCCCAGGGTCCCAAGGGTTGAAGAATCACAGCCCAGAACACTGGTTTACAGGTGGGTCACTGCTCAAGAGCTGTGCTGTGCTTGGAGTCCCATCTTCCCTTCACTCACCACCACTGCAGGGTCCCCGGGGCGACCAGGCTCCTCCTGTGGAGCAAAGGTAGGGGCAGGGGTAGGTCAGAGATCCACCTAGAACCCAACCTGAGGAGAGACCCACCTGCCACATCCCTGGTACCAAGTGGAACAATCACCAGCCTATGACCCACCTTCTCTCCTTGGCAGCCAGCAGGTCCTGGTGGCCCCTGTACATGGAGAAAGTGTGAGCCCGGGAAGGGAGGAATACACAAAAGTCACCCTCCTGGTCCCACCATAGTAACAGACTCACTTCAGGACCCTCAACTCCAGGATGTCCAGAAATACCAGGTAGCCCTTGGAGAAGAAGGATGAAGTGCTGCTCCAGGTTGGTAGAGGAGGGGGGATTATGAGCAAACAAGAGGTTGGGGATGGGGCTGGGGGTGTTAGGGAAGGCTGGGATTTAGGTTGGCGGTCTAACTCATCAGGAAAACAGAGATCAGGTCAGTGAAAGTCAAGGTCAATTTATCAGGGTCAGAGGTCAAAAACCAGGTCTCTGGAGTTGAGGGTTAGCTCCTGCACGGCAGTGATAAGGAGTCATGTGAGGAGGGGTGAGTGGCAGGGGCAATGGGGGTCAAGAACAAAAAGTCAGAACTGGGAGGGTCATAGAGCCTGTCAGCTGACCACGACATTACAGTCAGTGAGCTTACCTGGGGCCCTGCAGGGCCTGGGGTCCACATTCACTATGGTGGAACAGAAGAGGTCAGAGTTGAGTCTGGCTAAGAAACTCCAGGACTCTGAGAGCCCCCTAGGCCACACTTACCTTCTCTCCAGTCTTACCCAGGGCCCCTGTCAGACCCTGGTCATCCTGAGGAGAGACAGAGGAAAGGGGCCTTCATGATCAAACTCCAAACAGTGTGTCTCACACTGCAACCATCCCCTCTGGAACCACAACCTCTGACCTGGAGAACTCTTCTCTCCTGGTCTTCCAGCCTTCTCTAACACCGTCGGGGCTCCAGAGTAGCACCCTTCACACCTTACTCCCCAAGTGGTTACTCACTTTGGGATCAATGGCTCCAGGATGTCCCTGTGGACCCTGAAAGGGGTGAATTTGGGGGTTCAGAGATTTGGTGTGGGCATAAGGATAGAGTAGTGGTTGATAGTTGAGGTTGGAGCCAGAGATATGCCCACCATCCTCAGAACCCCTAGCTCATACACTCACCTGCTTACCCAGGGTCCCAGGTGGTCCTGGGAGGTCTGGAGCTCCATCCTCATAGTCATCCTGAAGGAGGAACACATGAGTGGGAAGATCCAGGAAAAGCTCTAGACCCCAGCATCCAGCCTCCTGCCCCAGAACTGGGACACCAAGAGGTCGGGTTTCCTACCTTTTCTCCTTTTTCTGCAGGGATGCCAACTGGGCCTTGGGGTCCAGGGCTTCCAGGAAGACCCTAGGAGGAAGTGAGTACAGATGAGAGTCCAATGCCCAACTAGCAACGCAGTAGAGTCCCTGGTCCCTCTAGCCACATCCCTGAGCAGGATCCCCAAATGAGTCTCAAGTCCTCTTCACCAGCAGCCCGGGCTCCCCAGGAGCAGTGCCACCATCACTTGATTCAGGGGAACCCTGAGAGAGAACAGTAGTTCAGGGGATTGTCAGAGGAATCTGTCTCCAAGCCACCCCTAGTACATCTTGTCCCTCACTTCCCTTTTCCCCACGATCGCCTTTGTCACCCTGGAAGACAGATTATAATTCCATGACCCTGAACCTCACCTCCCTCCTAAAGGTACCAGGAAGGATAAGTAAGGGTCATGGGGTCCAACTAGATTACAAGGCTCATGGGGGAACTTAGGAGTCATGGTGGGGCATGGGCATGGTCAAAGGGTCACATGGGTTTAGAGCAACAGACAGTGCGTAGTGGGCTCAAATGGGGTCACTAGGTCTCTGAATCACGTGGCAATCATAGGCTGTCACCTCCACAGCTGTTCCAGGAAGCCCTGGGGAACCCCGGGCCCTGGGGGCCCCAGTGGTCCACAAGGTCCATGGGGGCCCTGATGGAGGAAACAACATATAAGTGGCAACCCCACAGAGTCCACTCTTGCCTCCCTCTTGTTTTTGCCCCCACCACACATCATTTGTCCCCTCTTACCCTGGATTTACCAAAGGCCCAGGGTCCTCTTTCTGCTCAGGAAGCCCAGGTCCAGGCTCCAATGTTCTTTCCAGGAGGCCCCTGTAGGGGCAGAGAGCAGTGGGCAGGATTCAGGGTTTGGGAGCATTGAGCTGAAAGAAGCCTCAAAGGTGCCCCAACTATTCCTTATTACACCCTAGGCCCTGCACAGGGTCTGACCCAGGGCAACTGTGCTCCTCTCTGGGACCTCCTGGTAGCCTCCCTTCCCCCTTCACCTACCAGCTCCCCCTTCAGGCCTCGAGGCTCTCGTTCTCCCTGTGGACAAAACAGAGCAGAGGGTGAGCCCCGGTAGGCCAATATTGTACCACCGCCTCCGGCTCCCTACCCTGTGGAAAGAACTCTGGACAGACCATGGGAGAGTAATAAAGGGATGGTTCCTTACTGGTTCCCCACAAGGGTCAGGCCACCTGAGGAGCCCAGTAAATGGAGGCCAGAGTCAGAATAGACAGAACCACTCCATCCACTCAAGCAAAGTGTCCACCATGACTCACAAGGGCAAGTCTTGCTCGCCTTCGGACCAGGGGTCCCAGAGGTCCCAGGGGTTCTGGGTTGGCAAGGGCTGCCTGGAAGCCCTTCTGCTCCAGGGAATCCCTGGAGAGGCAAAGATGTCAGGGCAGGAAGGGACCTCTCCCCATGCCCCTGATTTGCTGGAGGAGCCTTACTCCATCAAAAAGGGACTCCCTACCCCCCAGGTCCCTAGTTATTGAAGATGAAACAGTGGGGCAGAGAAATGGCCGTTCAGAGCTTCATGGAGCCCAGTCCCACGCACAAGGGCAATGACAAGGCAGAGGGCCTTTCGCACCTCTGGGACTAAGAAATGCTACTCAGGCTCAATGGGGGATCACGAGGCCCCATGGGCTCCTCCACTTCAGAGCTTCCCCCATTGTCTCTGGTGTGGTTTTGGTTTATAAGAAATACCCTGTGATTCTAAGTCTGCTTCTTCCTTCTCTCTTCTAAAAACCCTGAGAAAACTTTAAGGAGTGCCTTAGGGAACTCAATGGTCTTCACACTCACCATCTCGCCCTTTGCAACGGTACTTCCAGGGGACCATAGGGGGTCAGGAGCACCGGTCCTGCCCTGGGAGAAGAGAGCAGATAAGGAGGTAGTAAGCCAGTCAGGGCACAGGGTCAGGTATGAGGACACTCACCGGAAGACCAGGGTCACTTGTCCTTTCAGGCCCTAGGAAGGGTGATCAGTGAGCCCTGAGTTGCCAACTTCTTGGGCCCTGCTGACCCTCAGCTCATCCTCTATATCCCACAGGGCCACTCACACTCTTTCCAGGTTCCCCCTTCTGGCCCTGGAGAAAGACACGTCACACGAGGGTCAGAGTGCCTGGCCCCAGGTTGACATTCACCAACCCTCTCCACCCTGGACACTTACCTTTGGACAATTCACTGAGCAAGGCTCTGCCTGGGGCTGTGGACACAGGGTCTTTTTGAGGCTGAGCATTTCTACCAAGAACCCCCAGACCCCATCTTCTCTACCACCTAATCCCCCAGAGGCCTCTTCTAAACCTGAGGAGCCAAGGATGCCTGACACAGGGCTGCTGCCAGTCCACCTACTGCCTGGTCCAGGCTCAGACTATCATCCACCGTGAAGAAGGCCTGACAGCGTCCATGCCTGGCACCAAGAGATGCAACTGCTCTGGGTCAGATCCCACCAAGCCCAAGATCACCACGTTGATCCCTGAGGAGGAGTCCAGCAGCCTGCATTACAGCCCTGTTGGAGCCACATCTATTCTCAAGCCTCATCCCCATTAGCACTACTTTTACCAGCAGCATGGGTCTTGCATGGGGCCGGATATGTCATCTCTCAAGGGCTCATTCACTAGCAGAACCATTACCCCTGGCATGTGCTGGCAGCGCCTAGGAGCATCTTGTGCCAATAAGTATCTGTGAGCTGTGAGGTCACTGTGGATGATGCATAGTCAATTGTGAGGTAGTTCTGTGTGGACAGGCTGTGCCTGGGAGGAAGGACATGTCAGAATCCTGGGACCCGAGGCTCCCAATAGGTAGCCCCAGGAGTCCACGCCTATTGCAGTCTTCACCCAGGCTGCTCCCCCTTGGGTCCATATAGGGAATGTCACAGATCTTTTGCAAGATCATGCCATGGTCATGGGAGCTATTAAGCAGGAACAGTGGGGAGGGCCGGTGACTGTAGGACAGCAGGCCAACCTGGGGTAATTGGGGGAGGGACACAGAACCTGGGAAGAATGACAGAGAAGGGATAGAGGAGCACAGGGTCTGGAGAAATACAGGGATGCATGGGTATGTGTGACTAAACCTGAACAATTTATCAGGGGATCAGCAATGATGGTCAGAGAGGGAGCGAAGACCCAGATGAGATTTGGAGCCTCGGGGAGACTTGGGAGAAACCTATGGTGGGGTCAGAAGGTGGTGGTATCTGGTATGGAGTCTGGGTAGGGAGGAGCAGGGGGAGGTAGGGAATCTGACTGTCTCTAGGGCCAAACCTGGATTGCCTGTGGCCCAAAAGGCCTAAGGGCAGTCACCAGCTGCTCCAGGACCTGCCTCACAGACTCTTCATGGTGAGAATTGTCTCAAGTGGCATACAGTAGGAACACTGCATCCACCAAGCCATGGGGACACATGGCAGGAAGGAGGCCAACTTACTGAAGTGGGTGCCCATCCAGCCATCCCCTTAGGCACTTCTCACTGTGCCTATCATACCTGGGATCTGTGTAACAGAGGTCTCAGGATCCGGCATGCCCTCCTGGACAGGCGTCAAGGAGAAGATATAAGAGACATCAGGCTCTAGCCATGTTACCCGCCAGGAGCTTGAGGTCCCTGGAAGTGTCTGTGGGGTCCCAGGCACTTCTGCAGAGGACAGAACTTGGTTAAACAGAAGGTTCCCCATGGAACCTCAACCTCCAGCCCACCCCAACCCTGTCCTCCCCCTCACCCTGGCCAGGGCCTCTGAGTGGGTGCCAGGATAGGATGTGGCGGGATGACCCAGACACTGGGTTCCAGGCCAGAGTCACAGAGTCAACTGAGGTGTTCACCACATGTAGTTCAGTGCAGGAAATAGGAGGTGACTCTGGAGGAATGAAAGATCGGGGATCAGAGGCTATATCCTAAGAACCCAGAGGGGAGAGAACCGAGAACTAGATAGGTCAGTGTAAGTAACCTGAGAGGGAGGTGGCCAGTGCCTCAGAATAGGCAGTGTGGGCACTATGAGGTCACTGTGGGGATGCATAGTCAATTGTGGGGTGGTTCTGTGTGGACAGGACAATCACTAAGCAGTGATGGAGTGAGCAGCTGGAGCAGTCAGGAATATACAGCAGGACAGTGTAGCCAATGAGTTGGGACAAGCAGCTGAGTGGGCTCCACTTACCAGTCCTCACAACCACAGAGGCAGGGACCCCATCCACACCAGTCACCTGGATCCTCACATGCACTGTATACTCAGAGAACTGAGATCCCAGGGTTTGTCTGACTAAAGATCCATGAGAGGTCATGCTGGGTTCACCCAGGGACAGGGGTTGAGGGTTTCAGAAGTCACCCCAAATCTGGGGTACAGGAAATCAGGATGGGATATGGGTGGGGAGGAACACACCAAGGTGAGGCAGGCCCTCTGGGCTTTCCAGTACGTGCAGTCACCTCTGTGGGGGGCCCTTCTCCAGCAGATCCCAGGATGGTCAGCCTCATGCAGTAGAGTGTCACTGGCTCCAGTTCATCCAGGTAGTAGTTGCTGAGCCCAGGTCCCATGATCCAGGACTATTCCTGGCCACCTAGGGCAGGCATGAGGCTTGGGGTCAGGAACATATGGGAGGATGATACCTCCCTGTATTAATGGACCCACCCATCTCACTGCCCCCCCATCACCTCACTGACTGACTGCTAATGGTGTCCACCTTCCTGATTGACCTCCTTCATTCTTGTTTACTTACCCCCTTTACTGACCCATCCCCACTGACTCTCAGTGACCTCATGGATTCCCACCCACCTTATTGATCTTACCTACTGTCACTGATTCTGTAGACCCCAATGAGACCCCACCCACCCTCACTGACCTCGATCACCTCGTTGACTCTGCTCCCCCCGCCAGTCTTCTCCTGGGGCACCTCTCACCTTCCAGGTGGATCTCTCATAAATAGATTAATGCCTTCCATGGGGTGGTTGGTGAGTATTAGTTTACTCCAGAACTAGTTGTTTAAAAGAGCCTGGCACCTCCCCCCTCTCGCTTTCTCGCCAAGTGAACTCTGCACAACTGGCTCCCCTTCGCCTTCCTCTATGAGTAGAAGCAGGCTGCGGCTCTCACCAGAAGCAGATGCTGGCACCATTCTTCTTGTACAGCCTGTACAACTGTGAACCACATCAACCTGTTTTCTTTTTCTTTTTTTTAATTAAGTTGGATTTATTAAAGAAAAAAAAAATATGTTGTGAAGGGCACAACAGGCAGAACAGCAGCAAGAGTGCCTGCTGTCTGCTGCCTACCACTTTTCTCTAGAAATCACCCAGCCTCAGATATTTCTTTTTTATTTATTTACTTATTTTTTTGAGACAGATTCTCACTCTGCCCAGACTGGAGTACAGTGGCGCCATCCCAGCTCACTACATCCTCTATCTCCTGGGTTCAAGTGATTCTACCCAGCTCAGCCTCTTGAATAACTGGGACGATAGGTGTGCACTACCATGCTCAGCTAATTTTTGTAGCGACAAGGTTTTGTAGCGACAAGGTCTCCTCACTTTGTTGCCTAGGGTGGTCTTAAACTCCTGGGATCAAGTGATTCTCCCGCCTCAGACTCCCAAAGTGCTAGGGTTACAGGCGCAAGCCACTTGCCTGACCAGGTTCCTTCATAGCAACACAAATGAACTCAGACAGTGGGCATGAAAGATGGCTCAAGAATATGTTTTTAAAAAATAAACCAGCCAGGCATGGTGGCTCATGCCACCATGGGAGGCTGAGGTGAGAGGATTACCTGAGCCTAGGGATTAGGATCAGCCTGAGCAACTTGGTGAAACTCTGATGCTAAAGAAATAAACAAACAAACCAAAGAATACATTTTATTTTATTTTTTGAGTAGGTGTCTCACTCTGTCGGACAGGCTGGAGTGCAGTGGCATGCTCACAGCCACTGCAGCCTCGACTTCCTGAGCTCAAGTGTTCCTTCCGCCTCAGTCTTCCACCATGCCAGGCTAATTTTTTTATTTATTGTAGAGATGAGGACTCACCAAGTTGCCTAAGCTGGTCTTAAACCTGTGGGCTCAGGCAATTCTCTCACCTCAGCCTCCCAAAGTGCTGGGATAATAGGCAGGAGCCACCACACACAGCCAGAACACATTTTTTTTTAAGTTAGAATCTCACTCTGTCACACAGGCTGGAGTGCAGTGGCAAGCTTACGGCTCACCACAGCCTCAACCTGCTTGGCTCAGATGATCCTTCTGCCTCAGCCTCCCATGTAGCTAGGACTACAGGTGTGTACCACCATGCCTAGCTAATTTTTTTATTTACTGTAGAGACGAGGTCTTACCATGTTGCCCAGGCTTGTCTGACACTCCTGGGATCAGGCACTCTTCTCGCCTCAGCCTCCCAACCTGCTGGGATTCAGCACTTGGTCTCACCAGGTTCATTTTATAGTACCCGAAAAATTCAGGTTTCTTTGGGTTTTCTGAGTTGGAGTCTCATTGTTTCACTCAGGCTGGAGTGCAGTGGCACACTCATAGCCACTGCAGCCTCGACCTGCTGGGCTCAGGTGATCCTTCCACCTCATCCTTCCGAGTAGCTGGAACTACAAGTTTGCGCTACCACACCCAGCTTATTTTTTGATTTACTGTAGAGACGAGGTCTCACCAAATTGCCCGGGCTGGTCTCAAACCCGCGGACTCAGGCAATCCACACACCTTGGCTTCCCAAAGTGCTAGGATTACAGGCTGAGACACCGAGCCCAGCCTGTAAAGAAAATTTATAAAGCAATCAAAGGATCTGAGCACAGACTAGGTATTTATTTATTTAATAGTAATTTTTTTTTTATTTGGAGTCTCTGTTGCCCAGGCTGGAGTGCAGTGGTACCGCAGCCTCGACCCACTGGGCTCAGGCAATCTTTCCGCCTCAGCCTTCCAAGTAGCCAGAATTACAGGCGGGTGCTACCACACCCGGCTAATTTTTTTTCTTTTTGATTTATTGTAGAGACAAGGTCTCACCAAGTTGCCCAGGTGGGTCTCGAACCTGTGGGCTCAGGCAATCCATTTGCCTCGGCCTCCCAAAGTGCTGGGATTACAGGCTGAGCCACCGAGCCTGGCCATATTTAATAGTAATTATTATTATTAATTATTTTTTTGCAGAGACGAGGTCTCACTATGTTTGCCAAGCTGGTCTTGAACTCCTGGCCTCAAGCGATACTCCTGCCTCAGCTTCTTAAAGTGCTGGTATTACAGGCATGAGCCACCATATCTGGCCCAGACTAGATATTTAATAACTACTTTTTAAGGTTTCAAAATGATTATATGGTTATATTAATGAATAAGAGCCTTCAACTTACTTTTAGAGATTCATTCTGAAATGGAACATTATGTCTGAATTTGCTTTAAAATAACACAATGGGGATGGGGATGGGATAATTGAAATAAGACTGGCATAAATTGAACGTTGTTGAAGTTGATATTGGATATATGGGGATTCTTTCTAATATTCTCTTAACTTTTATATATAATTGAACATTTTCTAGAAGGAAGTTAAAAAAACAAAACAGGAGCAGGATCAGCCCACTGCTATCACCATTCCAAATATTGGAAGCCCGAGAGGCAGGCCCACTCAATAAAGAACCAGACACGGACATTCCATTTACCTCTCACTTCATCTTGCCAAAGCAATAATATGAAGCAGAAACCCAAGGTATGTAAACTGTGAAGGCAAAACAGCCTTCCTCATCCTTATTTCAGAGGATATGACAGCTCACAAGAAAATCCAAAAGCATTGACTGAAAATTACTAGCGTAAAAGATACCAGAAACAGTTCCCCATGACCACCTGCCCAATCCTCCCTTCCTGATACTCTGCAGTCTGGGCCTCTGTAGCTCTCAAGGCCTCCTGAACGTCCATGTGCTCTCTTTCTGCCAGCTCTGCCTTGTCAGCTTACACATGGCCAAGTTTCCTTCAACTCTGAGCCCCTTTTCCTCCCACTCACTTCCCCACCCACTCCCACTGGGATCTGGCTCCACTAGGCTCTTGCCAAGATCTCCAGTACCAGTGTTATGACATCCCAGTAGTCAGTTTGGAGCCTGGCCTCATTCCCCTACCCTGTAACATCTCGCCCCACTGACCACTGCCTCCTGTCTGCCTCAACTTCCATGTCTCCCACCGTTGTGTTTCTCTTCCACCTCACTGGACACCCATCTGTAGCCTCCTCCATAGACCCTTAAGTGCTGGGGCTCCCAGAGCTTTGTCCTGGGCACTACTTCTCCACCCTCCACCACCTCATCCATTCCACAGTTTCAAGAACCATACCTGTTGGGGGAGATGCTTAAGCCTCAACTCTCCTCAGAGATCAGTTTGCCTTCTGGGTATCTGCTGTTGCACAGCTCCCAGAAACTTCTTCCTTCCATTCAGTACATATTTACCAAGCATCTACCATGTAAGAGCAAAACAGACATGGTTCCTGCCCTCGTGTGAGCTTCTCTTCTTCCTTGCCCCAGAACCCACCCCAGTGGTTGGAAACTTTCGGTGCTTTTCTTTTTAACCCCACAGGTTCTGTCACTTCTCCACTAGAATCTTAAGTCCCAGAACCTGCCCCAGTTTTTGGCAGACCATGTGCTCATAGAAATATGTGATTGCCTGAGCCCGCGAGTTCGAGACCCGCCTGGGCAGCGAGACCTCATCTCTACAATAAATCAAAAAATCAGCCGGGCGTAGTAGTGCATGCCTTAATTCTGGCTACTTGGAAGGCTGAGGCGGAAGGATCGCCGGAGCCCAGCAGGTCGAGGCTGTGGTGGCCAAGAGCAGCCACTGCACTCCAGTCTGGGCGACAGAGTGAGACTCCAACTCAAAAAAAATAAAAAGAAAGAAAGAAAGAAATATGTGATGAATAAACAAAGAAACATCCCTCAGACCCATCCACTCTCTGCCCCTGCCACCACCCAAGTTTCCGAGGTTATCACCTTACCAGGATGCTGCAAGTACCCACAAGTAGTCTCCCGTCTCCAGCTGGTCTCCCACCTCACCCCAACAAAACCATTCTCAGCACTAGCTGGTCATCAGGGATGGTCTTTCAAAGATTCAGATCTGAACCTATAAGGGGCATCTGCTTCAGGCAGTGGTAAACTTGTTTCATACCAATAGTCCTGGAAGTGTAGTGAGAATCTTTACAGAGAAAGACAGGACACTGAGGCCACTTTGCCAGGAAATAGCATTTATTTGTGAAGGCACCAGCTCAGCAGATTCGCATCCAAAGGCTGAGCCCCAAGTATGGGGGGGAATTGTCTTTTATATAATTTTAGCTTCCTTGTCCCCCAATAAGGCTTATATATTAGTAACATACTGGTTAATTGGGTATTTCATAGCTCAAGCTTACAGCAGAGTTATACTTGCGCATTACAGATTGGGGTCACATTCTTTTCTAATATGTATCATCCAAGAAAGTTCTTGTCTTATGGTGCTAGAAGAACTCTTTCATTATCCTGGGAAGGCTTTTACCTTATAAGACTTGGGGGAAGGGCTCCCTGCACATTCTATAATGCTAGAAAGGGATGCTCAAATCCCTTTCTAGCATTA